TGGAGTCGTCGCTCTTCAAAGTCAGAGCCTTCGGTCTGGACGCCATCAACATGAGGCAGCTCAATCCCAGCGACATCGACAAACTCATCACCATTCGAGGTCTCGTCATTCGTTGCACGCCCATCATCCCCGACATGAAGCAGGCCTTCTTCAGGTGCATGGCCTGCAACCACACCATTCCCGTCGAGCTCGATCGAGGTCGCATCACTGAGCCAGACCGTTGCCCGCGAGACATGTGCAACCAGCAGGGCACCATTTCGCTCATCCACAACAGATGCGAATTTGCCGACAGGCAAGTCATTCGTCTTCAAGAGACTCCCGACGCTGTGCCGGATGGTCAGACTCCGCACACAGTCACTCTCTGCTCCTACGATGAGCTGGTAGACGTGTCGAAGCCAGGTGATCGAGTCGAGGTGACTGGAATCTTTCGCAGTCAGGCGGTTCGCGTTAATCCTCGGGCGCGCACCCAAAAGAGCTTGTACAAGACGTTCGTGGATGTCATTCACATAAAGCAGGGCGACACGCGTCGACTAGGATTGGACGCCAGCACCCGCGGTGTGGCAGAAAAGGGTGACGCCCGTCGTGCTCAGGCTCTCGGAGTCGGTGGCGAGGAAGATGACGATGCGGACGACGACGGTGAGACCCACACCGCTGAAGCACTCAACTCCGAGACTGAGCAAAAGATGCGTGCGATTGCGAACCGCCCCGATTGCTACGAGCTGCTGGCAAGAAGCCTTGCACCAAGCATCTATGAAATGGAGGACGTCAAAAAGGGCATCCTGCTGCAGCTGTTCGGAGGAACGAACAAGACCATCTCTTCCGGCGGCGGGGGTGGAGGTCCAAGATATCGAGGCGACATCAACGTGCTCATGGTCGGTGATCCAGGAACGAGTAAGAGTCAGCTGCTGATGTACGTGCACAAGATCGCACCTAGAGGCGTGTACGCGAGCGGCAAAGGAAGCAGCGCCGTCGGTCTCACGGCCTACGTCACCAGGGATCCCGACACGAAGCAATTGGTCCTCGAAAGCGGTGCCCTGGTGCTCAGTGACGGAGGTGTCTGTTGCATCGACGAATTTGACAAGATGAGCGACGCGACTCGCAGCGTCTTGCACGAAGTGATGGTGGGTATTGACGCGAGTTCGAGTGTTGTGTGCTTGACTAATCAAAGCTTCCCTGGTGGTATAGGAACAACAAACGGTGTCGATCGCAAAGGCGGGCATCATCACCACTTTGAATGCCAGGACATCTGTGTTGGCCGCCGCCAACCCCGTTGGCTCCAAATACAACGTCCGATTGCCCATCACGCGCAACATCGACCTTCCACCAACGCTGATTTCACGTTTCGACCTGGTCTACCTCGTGCTCGACAAGGTGGATGAAGCGTCGGACCGGCGTCTGGCTCGACACTTGGTGGGATTGTACCTTGAAGACAGACCTAGCACCGCCCCCGGAGCTGACGTGCTTCCCATCGAGACGCTCACGTCGTACATTGGACACGTGCGTGCCAATGTTCATCCCGTGATCTCGGCAGCAGCTGGAGAAGCTCTTGCCGAACGTTACGTGGCCCTGCGAAAAGCGGGGGAAGACCCGCGCAGCTCAGAGCGGCGCATTACTGCTACTACGAGACAGCTCGAGAGCATGATCCGATTGTCTGAAGCCCATGCGCGTATGCGATGGAGCGAGACGGTGGAGGTTGAAGACGTCGATGAAGCGGCCAGATTGATCGCCGAAGCGACCAAAAGCAGCGCTACGGATCCCACCACTGGACTCATCGACTTGGACCTCGTCAACACTGGTCGAGGTCTCGCAGGCCGAAAGCTCGCAAGCGATCTGAGACGAGAGGTGCTGAGCCTCATTGACTCGATGGGGGGCGGAACGAACGCTGCGGATGGCTCGACCGCCCCAAACGTATCGGCGCGCGCAATCAGGTATTCGGAGCTGGCAAAAGCCCTCGCGGAACAAAGCACGTATGGATCCGTCGACCCCACCGAGCTGTACGATTTGATGAGAACTCTCGAGACCGAGGTGAGTCAAGGCGCGTTGCTATGAATTGTATGCACTCATGCTGACAATCCTCACTGCTCTCGTATGGGCACATCTCTAGGGCCTCGTCAAGATCGCGGGCAGTGGCGACAGAAGAACGGTCAAGCGAGTGGGCTGATGCGGATTAAACGCCTCATACTCCAGCTCGTCATCACCCTACATCTTTTCTTCGCGCTGTTCCAGGTGATTTCACGAAGTCCTGCCCGCATCTCGCTCGCTTCTGCTGTCCACACCGTCTCGTCGTATGAGCCCCCTTTCCTTCTCGAAATGCGACGTCTTCATGAGCCCGTGCGCGTGTCCGACTGATCTGAGGTGTCCAACGAAATGCACTGAGCGGTGACTATGTGCCAGACCTCTCGGGGCCCGGTTCGTGAAGCTGCGGCTCCGGTCGGCGCTACGACCTCGATGTTGTGGTGCGCTGGTTCAAATCACGGTAATACAGGTTTAAAGAGCAATTGATGGCAATGAATGCGACAAGAGTGTTGAGTGATGAACTAGCGTGAGGAATGTCTGTGCAAGATGATGATCCGCATCACTTGAGAGCCTGTCCAGACTTCCAGAAGAGGCGCACCATGATAACCACGGTACCCTGGAGCAGGGAAGGCGAGGGGAAAAAATTTGTC